CGGGATTCGAAGGTTCTAGCAGGTTCATATGATAATTTCGGACTTGGGCGTATATCCGGATCGGGTTTTGGAAGATCCGGGAACGTTTTGGCACCTATTGTGAAAGTTTGCATTTTTGGAAGGATTTCATAAGTTTGGGTTAAAGTATCTTTCAGTGTTATCAATATCCGTTTGGGATTCTGAGTCTGGGGATAGCTCCGTATGGTGATTCTGGTATTGGGAGCGCGATCGGAAGTGAATTCGGAGGTCTGTAGGTCATTTTGGAGTCATTTGGCTAAAGGATAGAAATTTGAAGGTTTTTGAGGAGTTTGACTGGAAGTGGACTTTTTGATATCGGGGTCGGATTCTGATTCCAAAAGTTAGAGTAGGTCTGTAATATCAAGTATGACTTGTGCGCAAAATTTGAGGTCAATCGGACGTGGTTTGATAGGTTTAAGCAACGAAAATAGAAGTTTGAAATTTTAAAGTCCATTAAGCTTGAATTGGAGTGCGATTCAAAGTTGCAGTACAATAGGTTTCTAATCCTATTTCTTTTTGTAGGACTGTTGGACAGAAGTATCCCGTTCAAAAACTATTCCTAATCTGATGATGAAAAGTTGCAGGCCGTAAGCGTATATCTCCTTCTCAACTTTATGCATGTGGTCCAACTTTTCAATTAATTAATCTCCAGAAAAATTAATTAATCTGCAGAAAGATAGTATTTTCACTTCATATCTCAACTAATTTTATTAAATCTTGAATCTTGTGCTCCAATATAAAATTTGTTTTCTTCCTATTGTAAGATTTTTATTAATATATGAAGTTCGCTAGGATGATTATGAACAAGCTAATTTGGCCTCCAAAAACATTGGGCCATGTTATGAGGCCGCAACTAGATATAAGTTAATACGATTTTATTATTTCACATAATCTCTATTTGAATTGAATAAAATGTGTCATTAGGTACTTTACGAACTTTTTCTTTCCATAATATTCGAAAGAAGCAAATAAAAATCGAGAAATATCTACTTAAATATCAAATATTTAAAGAAAATAGATTCCACTGGGATTTGACCTAGGCCAACGTGGAAGATATTACAATGTAATGGGATTTAAAATTAAAGGGTAAATCTAATTTGATCGTTGGGAGTTATTTTACTAAAATATTTTAAAACTTTATACTCATCAAGGGGTACACACGCAACAAGCGAGTCCAAAGCCATATTTTGCGAATAAAAATTAAAGAAATATATGGTAACATAAGTATTCTCGCAAGCCCTTCTGCCTACAAAGTGCATTTTTTAATGACATTTCTTTCTTTTTCTTTTTTTTTGGTCGAAAGTGAAAATTTTCTTTCAACCATTTTCAATACACACCACCTGCACTATTTTGACTCTAGTAGCAGGTCTGAAAGGTAACCAAAATAAAAACTATACAAGCAACCTGTTGCCTATCCAAGCCCACTTGAGAAAATGTGGTCTTCCTCTATCCTATTTGCTATAAACTACAACTAGGATAACTATTCAGTGTATTCAATATAGGTCTCCATTTACATTTTTCTTGACATGCTATATGCACTTGAATTGTAATGTCTTTAGCTCTGTCCTTGGCTTCTATTTTCTAGTTTAGAAATCTTCTGCTATTTCTTTCCATCCAGATGTGATACACCACTGCTGCAAATATAATTCCCAGGATTGTTCTTCTTGGGTTTCTGGCATTGACATTGGTTGATAACCAATGCACTTCAGATTCCCAGTTTGTGATGTTCCTTTGGTACCTTAGCCATGCCAGCATTCCTTTCCACATGCTCTTTGAGTATTGACATTCAAAGAATAGGTGGCCATGTGATTCTTCAATATCTCTTTCGCATAGCACACATGATCGGGGCACCTGAATTCCCCATTTTGTGAGCCTGTCTACTGTAGCTAACCTTTGTTGCACTGCCATCCATAGTATAAACTAGTGTTTAGGCATCATTCCTGGCAACAGAATGAGTGACTTCCATTGAACTTTGGGGTAACTTGGCATAGCATGTATATAGGCCTTCTTGATACTGTATTTTCCATCAACTACAAAGGAGTTTATCACTGCTAGATCAGATGCCCACCACTCTCTGGCAGTGAATATTTTCCTCACTAGCCAGCTGGCTTGCTTTGGAGTATTTATGGTAGCAACATCATTATGTTTTATGTAGTGACTATGAATCCACTTAATCCATAGTTTACCATTATAGCCCATAGGAGTTTGGTTAAAGCAGCCTTATTCCACAATTCATAGTTGATGATGTTTAGACCCCCAACAGCTTTTGGTTTGCATAGAGTTTCCCAGGAAGCTGGAGCTCTATTAGAATCATGTACTCCACTCCATAGATAACTTCTGCATATGCTATTAACTATCTTGATAACCTTCTTTGGAATTAAAAATACATGCGCCCAATAGGTTTTCATTTCAAACAAGACACTCTTAATGAGTTGGAGCCTGCCAGCATATGATAAGAACTTTGAAGTCCAGCTTCTAATTCTATCTACAATCTTCTCAACTAATGGCATGCACTGATGGATTGTGAGCTTCCCTGTGGATAGAGGAACTCCAAGGTACTTGAATGGAAGAGTACCTAGAGTCAAATGCAGTTCAGCTATCATTTTTTCTTTGAACTCCAAAGGCACCCCTGCTATGTATAAGGAACTCTTATCCAGGTTCGCTTTGAGCCCAGAAACAGCAGAGAAGTTTTCAAATGCTTCCATCATTAGCTTCATAGAAGTTTCATCTGCCCTACAACACATTAGTAGATCATCAGCAAAACAGATGTGAAGAACTTGTAGCCTTGCACACTTAGGGTGGAAGTTGAAGTCAGGATTCTGGATGAGTGTCCTTAAAGATCTATTCAAATATTCCATTGCCAGCACAAACAAGTATGGAGACATGGGATCTCCCTGCCTTAACTCTTTTTTTTGCTTCAAACCTATTAGTTAAGCCACCATTAAGTAGTAATGTGTAACTAACAGTTGTTACACATTCCATGATTAGAGTTACCAGTCTATAGGGGATCTCAAACTCTAGTAATACTGCTTTTAGGAAGTTTCATTCTACTAAGTCATATTCTTTCTTGATATCAACCTTGATCATACATCTAGGGAAAACTGCTTTCTGAGTGTATCCCTTGATCAACTCATGTGCCATTATAACATTGTCAAGAATGTTCCTGCCTTCAATGAATGCAGATTGTGAAGGCCCTACCAATAGGTCAACAACTAATTTAAGCCTAGATGTTAGAACCTTGGCAATGATTTTATAAAGAGTAGAGAAACAGGCTATAGGCCTGAATTCCTTGACATAAGTAGGATTCTGAACCTTAGGAATCAATGTGACTGTTGTGCAGTTGATTTCTTTCAACAGTTTACCAGTCTCAAAGAACTTCAGCATTGCTTTTGTGACTTCCTTACAATAATTGGCCAGAATTCTCTAAAAAAAACTCAGCAGGATATCCATCTATGCCAGGTGCCTTGTCACTCGGGAGGCTTTGCACAATATGAGTTATTTCCTCAGCTGTTACAGGCTTTAAGAGTTATTGTTGCTGGTTCATGGTTAGGCATGGTCCATTCCAGATTATACTGATATCAATACCTGGTAATTCAGTGGCTGCTGTACCCAGTAGGTGCTGAAAAAACTGAGTGAATTCCAGTTGTATCTGTTTAGGCTCTGATATTTTAATATGTTGGTCATTGTAGATGCAGATAACTTTGTTCCTTGCTTGTCTGGCTCTCATGTAAGCATGGGAATATTTGGAATTGCAGCCACCTAGCTTGATCCATGTGGCCCTTGATTTCTGTTTCAATATTTGTTCCTGTACTGCTTCCCATTTCTTTATAAGCCCAGTGTCCTTCTTTCCTCTTCAATCAGTGAGTTGTTGAAGTGGTCTTCATTAATCTTGCCCTGCACCTCCTTTAGTGTTTCCCTCAGTTGAAATAGTTTCTTATCAACTGAAGAGTGTTCCTGTTGGAAGCCTCTAGTCTGCATCTCCACTAGCTTTAACTTCCTCCATATTGAGTACATTGTGTAACCTTGGATCTGCTGACCCCATGTATTCTGTACCACCTCCTTATATTCTTGTAGCTTCAGCACTGTAGACAGGAGTCTAAAAGGTTTTTTCACTTTTACCCAGTTAACTTTTGTGGTTATCATGATAGGTGAATGATCTGAGCAGCCTGGCAGCATGTAGATAGCTTCTACACCATTATATTGTTGAAACCAGTCAGCATTCCCAAATGCCCAGTCTATGTGGCTGTATATTCTGATGTCTGCATCCCTCTTGTTACTCCATGAGAATTTGAAGCCTCTCTTAGTGATTTGCCCCACCCCAATGTCATCAATACACCTTTGAAAGTCAGTTGTATCTGCTTGATGGACTGGGATCCCATTCAATCTATCTTCCTCATGTAGCACACTATTGAAATCACCTATTATAAGCCAAGGCCCATTAGTCTGCATGTTTCTCAGACTTCTCCATAGTGAGGCTCTATCATGAATAGTGTGCAATCCATATACAAATGTTATATAACTGGAAAATGATGAATTATTATCAGTGACACAACAGTGTATCATCTGATTAGAACAATCCAATACTGTGACTTTAACATTTGCCACTTTCCATCCTATCCAGATTCTTCCATTTGGTGCATAGGCATAGTTGTCTGTGAATTTCCAATCTACACCAACCTTCCTCTGAATTTCTTTAGCACTTTGTTGTTTAACTCTAGTCTCTAGGCAAGCTATTAAATCTACTTTATTCAGCAACAAGAACTTTTTGAATTCTCGTTGCTTGTAGAACTTATTCAGTTCTCTTATATTCCAAGAGACAATGATCATGGAGGGTTATGATGAATAGGACTGGTTCCCTCAGCTACATTTTGAGCTTCACCATTATTAGAAGATGCTCCTTGTTGATTATTGTTTGGTGGTCTTTCCATGATTGTCAAGGGTGCAAATGTATTTCTTCTAGTTAGCTCCCCATAGTTTATATCTCAATGGGTCTTCTTGTCAGCTGAACCTTGAATAACCACAGCTTGTTTGCCTCGATTAGTCACTTTTACTTCTATTGTAGGTTCCTGTTGTTCAGCATCCTCCTGTGGCAGAACATCCTTTCCATTATTTCCTTTGTCATTTGGCTTTGGCTTCCATTCCATTCTTGTCTTCTTCTTCCTTTTCCTTTTATGTGGTTTTAGTTCATCCTCCTGTTTTATGTCTTGTTGGCAATTACCAGTACTATGCCCAAACTTATTACAATCCATACACAGTTTTGGCTTCCACTCAAATTCCACTCTTTGCTCCCAGGTACTTCCATCTGGATTCTCAATGGTTACTCCATCTGGTAGTGGCTGTGTGATATCCATTTCAACAAGGATCCTAGCAAATGAAATTCTTTTACAATGGGCTGTAAGCTTATCAGTGCAAATAGGTTTGCCTAATAGACTGGCAATTCGACCTAAGTTCTCCTCAGCCCAACACTGGACAGGTAGCCTAGGGAGGTTAATCCATATAGGAAAAATTCTCATAGACTCGTTTTGAATCTGAAAATCAGGATCCCAATCCTTCAAGACCATGGGTCTATTATTGAAGGTATAAGGTCCATTTTGAACAATCTCAATTTTATTCTCCATAGATTCAAAGCGAAAAATGAAATAACCATCGTCATGAAGAAATACCGCTGGTGTCGTCACTGAGTTCCACACTCCATAGACGAATTTGAGCATTTCCTTGAACGAAGGGTTTCCTCCTAGGACATATCCAATTAAGGCTTATTTCCATTTCTTACACTGTTCCTCTATCTCTTTTGGGTTCAGCTTGGCCACTTTCACTCCGTCCTTAACCACCGGAGGATAAAACTTCAGCTGCATGCCATGTGTTTGAACTCTGTTTCCTTTCACTACCTCAGTCATGGTCTGCTTTGTACTCTGAGACACAACTGAGTAGGTTAATTTCCTTGCTACTGTCAGCAATCCTGGATCCGTTACTTGAATTTTTTTCCTCTCCGGTGGAGCTTGCATTACAGTAGGAGCACTCCCCATGCCTGGCATCCAATGTAACAGTTGAATTGGGGCCGATTTCTGGGGAATACATGTTTCAGGAGTAATCATTCAATTCCTATCATCTACTTGAAGAAGTGATTGTGTAGGGGAAGGTGAGTATTCCGGTGAGTATTCCGGTGAGTCATTGTGATCGGCGTAGGTTAGCTGTAGTGCTCAACTTTCGCAAGATCCTCTCTCTCTACATTCTCTCTCTTGTTTCATTCAAATTAAAAGATTATTATTCTCTGACATTTCTTTCTTTTTCTCTTTTTTCCTTTTTTATGTCATTTGTTCATTCAACTTTAATATCTTTCAAAAATAACAATGTTTAGAATTTTCATTTTCTATATTCTATCTCTGTTACATTGGTAAAATCATAAAGAAAAATATATATTATCCAAAGAGTTCCAATAAAATGTGTTAAATTATTTTTTTAAAATAGTTATTATCTTCAAATAGAAATTTTTCAACAATTGTTAAGGCTTCACATGCGAGCCACGTGAAATAGAGACTAGTACTATATTAAAGGCACAAAACTCTTAACTAAATATTGTTCGCCTTTTTTACCCCTTAAAATAAGATTTCACATTGGATGAAATTGAAATTTAAGTTAATTTTCTAATATTTAGGATTTTAAAATCAACTAAAATTTTGGTCATTAATTTTTTCCTTATTGAACTAGGTAAGAAAGACTAATATTTTGAACTTTAAAACTAATTATAATATTATCTTATATAAATCAAATAATTAGGTTATAATATTTTTCTTTTTATTGTATATAGGCTTACAAAAGGGAGAAATTCAAAAATAGTCAGATTTACAAGTGGTCATTCAAAATAGTCACAGTTTCAAAAGTAATCGAAATTTAGTCACTTTTCATCTAAAGATAAATTTGAACGAAAATATTGTTCAAAATCCGAAAAAATACTCTGTATGATATACTAGAATTCTGGTATAAGATATCGGTCCAGCATAATATACAAGAGAGTCGAGCATCGGTGCTCCAATCTCCAGTACTGGAACTTTTCGCGTGTTGGAGTTCCAACATAATATGCTGGAAGTTCATACACAGGTGCACCGATATCCAGTATATTATGCTGGAACTTTCCGTGTTGTAGCAAAATAGTTGTTATTTTTCAATGACTTTGCAAACGCTGGCTATTTTTGAATGACCAGTCCGAAAACTGGCTAGCCCGTGCTAAAGTAGGCACGTCCGTTTCCAGTTTCACCGTTAGTATTTGAGATAAGTTGTAATTGAATTAATTATTTTTTCACGCTCTTTTTTTCAAATATTCCTTTAATTAATTTTTTTTGTGTGTTCATTTTGTCTCAAGAAATCTTTGGAAGATTTGTTAGTTGAATGGAATTCTTTGTCCCGTTTTAAATGCATAGAGATTTGATATTATTAACAATACATATTAAACTATAAATAAATAAAGCACGAACATATGTGAATTTAATAAAGCAATTTAAAATTCATTTAATGTTCACTTTCTTTAAAAGGAAAAATGTGTCAGTTTATATAATTATATTCTTGAAAAATATACTTATGTTATTAAAATATAGTCCATCTTTTGACTACCTATAATTTTAACCCTTTTCTTTGGTTATTTTTTATTTTATTTTTGACCATATAAGAATTATGCATACTATGAAAATTTTAAACGCCAATTCTTGTGAAATATTAACTCAACATTAGTCATTTTTAGAGTTTATATTGTTACGTATTACTATTTTTTTGTAAGATTCATAGGCGAAAAGGTATCATGACAAAAGTTTTCTAATTTATTAATCTGTCTTCGGTATTAGAGCACAAAAATAACAATAATTATAATATCAAGATATTCCTATAAAACTTTGGGAACTTTCATGTGGTAGAAATTTATCCTTTATTGAGCTAGATAAATAAATCTCCAAACATATTATTATAAAATTCCCTTTTTTATAGTTCAAACACAATTTTTAATGAAAAAGACCAATCTCAGTCTAGATGCCTTGCTAGTAAGTGTAGACTTCTCCTAAATTTGAATTTTCGGTTTGAAACTCGATGGATTATGAGCTCGCTTCTCTATCATTCACTAATTAAATATCAAGCTTTTCTCAACAGGTGCAGTTGATAACTTTTCCTTAAGGGTTTCAAATGCTTTTACACAGTCACCTGAAAAATCAAACGTAGTGTCTTTCATCAAGAGGTTAGTTAGCGGTTTTGAAATCTTTGAGAAGTCTTTTATGAATCGTCTATGAAACCTGCATGACCTAGAAAGCTTCTAATTCCTTTCACAGTTGTGGGAGGGGGTAATCTTGCTATAAGATTAATTTTTGTCTTATCAACTTCTATCCCTTTAGCAGTGATTTTATGTCCTAAAACAATTCCTTCTGTAACCATAAAATGACATTTTTCTCAATTAAGAACTAAGTTTGTTTCTTCACATCTTTTAAGAACTAATGTCAAATGGTTAAGACAATCCTTATATGTTTTGCCAAATAGTGGAAAATCATCCATAAAAATTTCAAGAAATTTGTCAGTCATGTCAGCAAAAATTGCCGACATGCAACGCTGAAATATAGCAGGGGCGTTGCACAGACCAAATGGCATTCTCTTATAGGCATATGTTCCATGAGGGCATGTGAAGGTTGTCTTATCTTGATCTTCTGGTGTAATTGGTATCTGATTATATCCTGAATAGCCATCAAGAAAATAGTAAAAACCATATCCTGCAATTCTTTCCAATATTTGATCAATAAATGGCAAAGGAAAATGATCTTTTCTAGTGACATCATTGAGACGTCTGTAATCAATACAGACTCTCCATCCTGTAACAATCCTGGTAGGTATGAGCTCATTATTTTCATTTTTTATAACTGTCATACCTCCTTTCTTTAGTACTACCAGAACGGGACTTACCCACAGGCTGTCAGAAATGAGGTATATAATACCAGCTGCCAACAGTTTTACGATCTCTTTTTTCACTACTTCCTGCATTGTTGGATTCAATCTTCTTTGCGGCTGGACTATTGGCTTGTAGCTATCCTCCATGAGGATTCTGTGTGTACAAATAGCCAGACTAATTCCTTTAATATCTTCTACAGTCCACCCCAAGGCTCCTTTGTGTGCTTTCAATACTTTAATCAAACTATTTTCTTGATCTGCTGTAAGAGAAGATGAAATAATTACTGGAAATAATTCTTGCTCAAGATAAACATATTTCAAATGAGAAGGCAGAGTTTTGAGTTCAATTTTTGATTGAACCTTTTCGGATTTCATCTCTTCTTCTTCTGAATCTTTGCCAAATATTTCAGCTTCTTTTCTGATGGTGGGATCATCGTCTTGTGTGGCGCCTGATTTGATCAAGCATCTTTCCATTGAATCTGGAATTAATTGATCATCTTTGAATTCATCTGTAAGATAACTAATCATGTCAATTGAAAAACATGAAGATGATGTTTCATCTCCTGAATATCTTAGTATCTTTTGCATATCAAATATGACTCTTTCTTCATCAACTCTTAAAATTAATTGTCCTTGATGAACATCTATAATTGCTCTTCCTGTAGCAAGAAATGGTCTACCTAAAATTATTGGTTCATTAGGACATTCTTTCATTTCAAGTACTATAAAATCTACAGGGAAAACAAACTTATCTACTCTTACGAGTACATTTTCAATTATTCCCTTAGGTTTCTTAGTACTTTGATCTGCAAACTGAAGAGAAACACTTGTGTCTTTTATTTCACCAAGATCTAACTTTTTAAAGATAGAAAATGGCATTAAATTTATTGAAGCTCCAGAATCACAAAGTGCTTTTTCAAAATATACTCCTCCCAAAGTGCATGGAATTGTAAAACTGCCTGGATCACCAAGTTTTTGTGGTAGCTTATTTTGAAGTATAGCACTGCATTTTTCCGTAAGCATTACCACAGAAACTTCTTCTAATTTTCTTTTACTTGACAAAATTTCCTTTAAAAATTTGGCATATGAAGGCATTTGTAACCAATGTTTTAAAAGGTGGGGCGTGAGGCGAGGCGTTTTACCTCTGACGAGGCGAAGCGTAAGCCCTGAGACATGGGGCGTAAGTCCCACGGATCTTTAAATTTTACTAGTTTCAAGAATTTTAAAATAGTATAAAATAAAATATAATTATTAAAATTATATTAAAATCACAAAATTATAACAAATAATCTATTTAAAATAAAGTATAATTCAACTATGAATAATACAAAAAGTATGACATATATCATAATATGCAAATTAGCTGCAACATCATTACAATCAAACATCAAAAGTAATGTATTCGATACAAAATCTTATATGTACCTCTTAAGGAGTAATGAATCTTGAAAGAATTTCGATTTTATAATTTGATATTTTTCTTAAAATAGTCCTTTTATTTATTATGCTTTCTATTAGAAAGAGAATTAATATAAAAACATAATTCACAATTTCAATACGATTCTCTAGCATCATTTATTTTTTAAGTTTCAACAAGTTAATAGAGTGACACATAATTCACCATACAATACTATGATAACTAATTATTACTAGCTAATACTGAGCTATTAAATTAATAATTATTGTATCTCGTAAACGTGAAAAAAAATATTTTGAAAAATAATTATAAAAAAATTATGGACTATTATATATTAAAGACATAACAAAACTTAATAAATAATACTTTTTTAAATGAAAGATTTATTTAAAACTAACTATCATAGCAGTCTTAGTGGATAATGTACAATAATTTTTATTTTAATTATGACATAAAATACTCTCAATTTAATGATTTATGGTAATAAAAAAAAGTAATCTTGAATACTTAAGGATTTATTAAGAAAAATTGAGGATTCACAAGGTTAGTTACATACAATTGCATAAAGTTCTATTAGGCGAGTCTAGTACGCTGGGCGTTGGGCATGTCCGGGGCGTAAGCCACGATGGCCAAAGCATAAGTCTCACGGAACTAAGCCCCACACATAAGCCCAAGGGAGTTTTGCGAGTGTTC